CCTTCTCCTATGAGCATCTTCAAAGACTAAGCCGGCAAATCCTTGAGATTGACGAAATCACATCAGTCACCTCGATATCGACGGGAACGTCGCCTACCAATGAAAGGACAACGCCGTTAAATTCTAGAAAAATCGTTCCCATGGGGAGTCAAACCCAAGAGCCAAGTCCTGAGGTGCTACTGAGATTCTCGTAACCACTAGGATGCAAGCCCTTTCGCGTATGTCACCTCTTGCTTGACCACTCATAGTCAATATCAACCTACACGGAAGAGTCAAGTCTGCTTTACCTAAATTAAGGAACTGAAGGTGGATGTCTCCTGCCTCCCTTATATATGAAAAGAAAAAAGAAGAAGAAGGTGGCTGCCACGCCAACCTCATATTACTTTCTTTTTCTCTAACACGTTGTCGCTATATTGGGCCCTGGTTGCCCTCGTTGTATATGGAGAAAGGCCCGACCAAGAATGTTTTCCTAAACGTTAAACTATAAACAGTCGGTCACCTACCGTTTAACTCTTACTTGGGCTCAACGGTCCATTACACAGTCAGTTAAATGGGCTAAACGGATGACTAAACGGAAACGGTGTACCGCTGTGTACTGTTTACACGGTGTTTAAACAGGCTAAACGACCATTTAGGTGAACAGTGGCAATAAAATGGGCCAAGCCTACTAGGAGAACAATGGCAATATGATGGGCCAAGCCTACTAGGGAAGAGGCCTAAATCATACTGGGTACATTGATTACCTAGAAGATAGGATATTGACTAGATAGCCTTGGGAGCCAAGCAAATCATGTTGATCCCACTCAGATCCCATAAGATTGCCTTGTAACAAACAGGAAAACTGTATATCTAGGTCATTCGACATTCCATATGTAACCCTACCCCCCTCTCCGAACTATATAAGGGGAAGTAGGGGCAACCCATTCGCAAGAGTTAAGCATCCCGTAGCTTAGAACCCTAGAAAAATCCATCAACACCCTTGTAAACCCGAGCATATGACGCAAGAGAAGCATTCTCAAATGGACATAGAGTACACTATATCTAAACTAGTATAAATATGTGTCTCGTGTGCTACCCCTGTGCACAGAACGCTATCTACTATTCGGACGATAAACTCTACGACTATTGGCGCGCCAGCAGGCAAGGGAACTTTGTGCGCAGATTCCTTTCATGTGCTTCAGATGGGTATCGTACATCTTCAACATCAACGACTATGACACCTTCCCTCAGGGCACCATGATCTCCTTCGACAGCCTAGATTACATCACACATCAACTTAGCAATCTAAACATACTAGATCTCGAATCGATCATGTAGGAGGAAGAGTCGCACCCTCTCTGCATGATCCTTGCACGGACTGGAGGACGTCGTGCCCGCTAGTGCTCCTGCACTCGCACGCCACATGGATCTTCACGTCCAGGACCTCTTCATCGAGTACGGCCGCGTGAGCACATCCTCAACCGGGTCATCTCCTGCTAAGATCCCCTTTATGGAGATTGGACGCAACACAGGAGGTAGGGATGAAAACGGTCAGGACAAGTCTCGTTCCATTCCATCACAATTTCTACATTTAACCCGCTCAGATTCGTATTGATGGTCATTCCGACTATTTATGTTTATTCTATTTTTGGTAAATGTGAAAATGGGATGAAAATGATATGACTGCTTTTTCAACATTTTTAGTTTTTTTCTGTGGGATATCCCACTTTTATCCACATAGGATATCCTGTTTTAGGAAGTGCAATAATAATTTCGCACAATCATCTACGCCACATCATCATAGACTTGTTATCTTATGGTCTTGCACTCTTATACTCTTGTCATCTTATGAACCTTACGATATGAGCTATAATTATTTATGTGTTGGCAGTGTTGCTATGTCAGGTCGGTAGATCAGTGTGTGAAGTTATGTTTCTTGGTTCTATGTGTCAATGATCCCGTTGTGTCTATCCGTATCAAGATGTTTCCATTTGAACTGATCCATTTTAGATTTTGGATGATCCCATTTTCGTTCCAGTTTTCTGCCTTTCTGATTTCGATTTTGTTTTTATATTATAATGTAAAACTGAAAATGGGAGAGGGTTTATCCCAACTGATCCCATTCGTTTTCATCCCTACCAGCAGGACCTGGCGCACGACATCCTACCCGGTTTCCCGATCAGAATGTGCTCGCTAGGTAGTTTACACTGACAAATCCTAGCGCTCATGGCTCGGGCTACATCGACAAACCCGAGGAGGGAAACCACGCCAACAGCATATTGATGGTGTCTCCAGATTCGTCGCCATCGCAGATCTCAATGATCTAGAAAGTCTAAACACAGATATCCAGAACATGACCAGTTGCGAGATCAACAATGTGATTGGATCCTACTCGATAGAGATCTCGGAATCCGACCACCTGAGCGAACTGAGCCGTCACCACTTGAGGTAGTGTTTCATGGCTGAATTGCAGCTCAATGGTCACTTGGATGATGACAACAATGCGGCGGCAACAACAGACAACATTGGGGACAACACTTAGCGCAGCCCCAGGCATGTCGATATCCAAGAACCCTCCAAGTGCTCGACTTCGGTCGAAATCAAAATGGCCGAGCAACAATGGGATCAACTCCTGCAATGGCTCGACCGACTGGAGGACAAGTGCGAGGAACTCAGGCGTCATCGAGGGAACCTCGAGGGTGAACTCAATCACTGAGACTACGATGAAGACCTTCGGAAGAAAGGGTAGACGCGCCCAAGAAGCCATCCTGCGCGAGGACGACAACGTTTGAGTCCACCCTCGACCAAGCCAGAACCTAGTAGTGGCAATGCATATTCTCAATGATCTTCCCCCACCGTGCACGGGGGTACATGCAATGTTCACACTGAAAACTACAAGCCCTCGTCTAGAACACGATAAAGCAATTGGCCGATAACAACCAAACACGATCAACCACTACATGGAGCCATAACCAGTGACATCATGTTTCACCTCCACGCAACCAGACATTGCGCCAGCCACCACGCAAAGGGACAGGCAAACACCAACCTGCCAGCCCCGACCCGCGCGGAGACTCGGTCCACCATTGGATCGGAGACCGCACATGTGGATAGTATATGTGGGTAATTTTCTAGAAAACCGGATAGATTCAATGGCAATTATAGATGGGCAATGCTACGGTACCCCTTTACTTGCTCCGAGGTAATATCTTAATTAACAAATCTGAGCCATTCATTTTTCTAGATTTTTAAATTAATTAATTAATCTAGAAAAAGAGAAATATTCTTAAATTCCCCTAATGACGGGAGACACAAATGGGCGTGTGGCACCTTCCTTGCCGCGCCCTTCCTTTCTGTCACTGCCACAGCAAATACATTACACGTACTCAATTAAAAAATAAATATATTTGAACAATCCATTTTTAATTCATATACTTAATTAAAAAATGTGTTACATACATGAAAAATATCAACGACTAACATGTTAACAGAACCATAAACTTTCACGATCTAAAATATATTACACTCTAACATGTTACATAATCAAATGTGTACATTATACTAATTTGATTAAAACTATGTTATATAATTAAGAGGATTTTCAAATAAAATACGTAGCTGTCACGTACATTCAACATATAAAATGGCCATGTAAAATTATATAAGCATATAAAGTTTCTTGTAAATTAGGCATGTACATTGGACATGTACGTTGATGAGTACAAACACGTACATACGTTAAGCACATACATGCAGCATGGATTACATGCATATAGTTTATGCTAATTAAATTATGACATATCCAAAGTTGCAAAAAAATAAGAAGAATTTACCATATCTAACAGATCACATATGCATTAGTTATATATAAAAAAATCTTTATATCTAAACTTTCCTTATTTATCCTATTTTACAAAATTAAAAATGAAATAAATACATATTACCTCCTAGGAAGTAATAGATGATTATTTTAGAAGCACACTTCAACGATTGTTGGGTTTTTTTCCAAATACAGGTTACAAGAACAATTGACTATGTTTCCCAAGAAATCTTGCCACACAGCGCACTGTGATTTTTTTTTTTTGAGAAACAGCGCATTGTGAGCTTGTGGCCACGGGCCAGCCAAGCCTTGGCCCCATGATTAGTGGGCTTGACTGCTTGGCCAGGACCGGAGCAAGCCGGCTTGGTATTATGGCCCATGCTTCTTCGTTCCAAAGTGAAGCCCACTAATCATAACCAGGATTATGTGATTTGTTTGGGTGTACGTTTTTTTGCTTCTTACATCCAATTGTGTTGCATGTTTTGTGTTTGGAGTACCAAAGATTACACGAATAGGATGCTTGTAGTGGTGACACAGTGCACAGTGTTGTTTCGTGTTGCATGTTTTGTATATCCTTAAAAACTAGCAAGCTAGTGAGCTGGTGTTTAACCCAATTTGCCTTCTCCCCGCTCAACGATGGTAGCCTGGGTGTGTGTCTATAAACATTTTGTTCCTTCTGTTTATAGCTAGTTTTGTACACCTAAGTTGCATGATTTCTTTTAGGTGTACAATTTTCTTGTTCATCATGTATAAAGTCTTGTTCCACGTTAAAAATTGTGTGTTCCTTTCAAATAGTTTTTGAATGATAAAATCAGTCTAGATAGTGCTTGAGATGTAGCTGGAATTGAAAGCACAATAATTAGTTAATTAATTTAGTACGTGGAGGTAGTTTGCATTTGAAAAAAAAATAGTAAGGGAATGTCGAAGGGTGGCAATTGCTAGAAAGACACTAGGATCCCACCAGCATCCCCATGCATAATTCTTGTCAAAGGTCTTGATATATATATATGACCCATGAACATCTCTTCTAGCAATTGCCAAGATCTGATAACAACAATGAACAATGCTAGGAAATAATCTGAAGCTTTTTCTTCTTCATCGACAACTATTACGAGAATTCAATTGAATTAGCGAGCTCAGGTTCTGAGGTAGTTATAAACTTAACTTATATGCAATATCTTCTCAGAGGTAGCATCGATAATCACGCTTGTTCAACCACGGACGATGCTTTGGCTGCGTCCTTCTGCTCTTCCTTTCCCTCCTCCTCAGACTCCATGGCTTCCCTGCTTTTACCCCACAGCACACTGTAAAGCCCTGCAACCAGCAGAGCTCCACCCACGATGCTGCCATACAAGGACAAATAATGGGAAAATATATGAAATGAAAATTCATTGAAACACCAATGTATACATGCTAATTACCTAATCCAGTCAATTACCTGCCAAGGTGAACAATCTCTCCCAGAAAGAAGGAGGAGCAGAATATGGTGAAGACGAAGCAGAGCGGGTTGGACATTGCTAGAAAGACCGGGCCTTTCATCTCCATACACCATGCCTGAAGATAGTAGGACACTCCGGTTACCACAAACCCCTGTCACCAACACAATCAGTTTTATGATGGTCCATCCGTACGTCCATGCAGCAGGGAAATTAAGCAATTCATTATTAGCAATAATCTCTAATGTAGTGTAAGCAGTGGTGGAGCTTGGCTACATTTATAATTTTCAGCCGGGGCCAATAACCTTCCTTAATTGATCCTAGTAATTAAATAGTAGTAAGAAACAGAATTAAAGCACACAAAAAAAACTAAATTAATTATGTGTATTACCGTGTAAATGATGGCTAGCAAGCTAATGTCAAATCGGAGCTTCCACTTGGAGAAGTCCCTCTCAGCCACCACTGCTACAACGAATGACTGCACGGTGCTGAACACGCACTGTGTCACCGTCACAAGCATCTTATTGGGGTACTCTTTCAGCAATGCGGACTGCACAGATACAAACCTAACAACATATCATTTATATATCTCTGAAGATACCAAATAGTAACTTGCTCTCTCCATTATTGCTCCATCATGTGGAAAGGGATGAAAGAAGCAGATATATGGAGGCCACTGCCTTGTGATTGTGAAATAGGATAAGCTGAACAAAGTGCCAACTACCAAGATGGAAGTTGTGGTTTTGCCTGAGTAGGTGTCAATGCACACGCTAATAATACGAAAACAAAGTTGTATTCTTCATTAGCTGAAAATTAAATGATGTTCAAATATAATCATACCCCAAATCTCACTAGCAATATATATGTCACTATTATGATCATACTCTAGTAGGGAAGGAATCGGAGATACGTTTGTTGTACCTGCAGGACGATCCAGAGGGCCCACGTGACGTTGGCGAGGACCATGAAGAACGTTCCTTTCACCCACGTCATCCTGCTGCTGGGATGATTGTTGGTGTTCGATGCGTGGGCGACAGCGAAGGCACGGTGGCGATTCACGGGGCTCAGCGCAGGCCCAGCGTAGAAGGCGAGGACAAGATCTTATAACGACAATGAACAATGCTAGGAAATAATCTGAAGCTTTTTCTTCTTCATCGACAACTATTATGAGAATTCAATTCAATTAGCGAGCTCAGGTTCTGAGGTAGTTATGAACTTAACTTATATGCAATATCTTCTCGGAGGTAGTGTGTGTGTGTGTGTGTGTGTGTGTGTGTGTGTGTGTGTGTGTGTGTGGGGGGCGACCTCGGATACCCACGGTAGACTACATGGGCTGCGCCCCCAGGGGCGGCCCAACCCACAAGACGAAGCCTTGCGGGGCACGACGCTGCTCGGCGTCTCCCGCAAGACACCACGAGATCTGTTGTTAGGATACGTATGATCCCATAATTTCTATAATCTGTTATTACTTTCCGGTTATCTCCTAGATCTATCCGACTTGTACCCCCGGACTATATAAAGCGGGTAGGGACCCCCTCTAATCTCACGCAATATCATACGATAGTCAATACAATCCAACAGACCACAGGAGTAGGGTATTATGTCATACTGACGGCATAAACGTGTCTAACTCGTGTGTCTCTGTTGCCTTCTTGTTCTCGATTACACGCATCTCTACCGATCAATCTACCTTCGTGAGATACCCCTCGGAGGACTGCCGACAATATTCTGTCGACAGTTGGCGCGCTAGATAGGGGTGTGCGTGCTGTTTCTATATTGAACAAGCTAGTACGTTCCGCAAGCTCTTCGTCCCTCCCACGGCCCGGCCAGATCTTCGCGGTCGCATAGATCTCCTGGATCATCAACGCTGATGGAGTCGGAGAGCTCATCGAACCGGTGCAGATCAATGCTGCGCCGATCACCCCAACGCCTACGACTGCAGATCCGATCTTGGAATCGCTTTCGAGGTCATCTTCACCGACAGCTCGCTGCTCGCTCCCTCGCTACTAGAGGAGGCGAATTAACAACGACAATCTGATCATATCGATCGATCAGATCGGCCAGAAGCTCGCCGATTGCTTCTCCATCACAGAATCGGCTCTGACCACTTTGGTTCAGCGTCGACCACCCTTCGATCTAGATCTATCGGAGGCTGCTCGGGAAACTCTAGGTGTCACGGCCCTACCCTTCGGGCTCACCAACACCGGCGCTGCTTATCAAGAGGCCCTACGGGGCAAATTCACGAACCAGGTTGGAGATGTACATCCTCTCGCCGACCAGCTCCCGCCGGCAGTCAACATGCTACACGTCGGCCGATGCCCCGGAGCATCCCTCCAAACCATCTTGGAGGAGAATCCAAACTCCGAGTCCCAGGGCTTTACGGAGATTGTCGCCGAAACCACCGCCGAACAACTTCCTTTCCCTCCTTTCCATGGGGGTGCAATCTTCAACGTCAGCGTCGACAGCCCCCCGCAGGAAGGGGAAACCGAGGAGGACCGCGCCGCCCACGTCAACAGGAACATCAACCGTGCATAGTGCCGAGCAAACGAGCCTGGTCTTGCGATGGACGAGGCTCAGCTTGACTCACAAGGAAGGCCACACCAACTCCAACGCAACCTCGACGACGAATTTGTCCATGTTGACGGCCACGACGTCTACAAGACCCCAAGCGCCAACTTGGCCGTGGCCACGAACGGGCTCGCTCGGCTCCTGTAGACACCGGAGGTCGCCAAGGTCGCCGCCATGCTTAAAGCGGCGCATTGTCAGGTCAACGAGATCCGCCAGGATCAGAGGCCTTCATACTCCACAAGTTTGATTCACCAATCAGCCGCGCCAAGATCTAATCGCCGCCCAAGTCATTTCACTGACCAGCATCGTGATGACAGACAACCCCTCTAGGGGGAGCTAGGGGCAACCGCATCGAACACCTTTGCCAACACGACCAGGAGGTCGACCAGGACGTTCGAGTGCACCTCAATAATCTTCGAGATGCGCGGCGACGTTTCGACGAGCGCCACTTCGGTCGCCATGAAGAAGAAGTACGCCACCGTCAAGAGTACGAGCAATAATACGGTAACCCAGACTCAGCTCTAGAGCCGCTCAACGCTGGCAACGCTGCAGATCATGGCGCCGACAACCCCGAAGGGCCCCTAGCATTCACGAGGGCACTCTGAACACCCCGGTGGCCTCGTGGTTTCAAAATCACTGGGGTGGAGCCATACAAGGGAAGGATGAACCCCACACAGTGGCTACAAGCTTACGCCACTGCTATGCGCGCCGTCGGAGGAGATACCAGTGTCATGGCAAACTATCTTCCTATCATGCTCACACCAACCACCATGAACTGGTTTACAAGCCTTGCCTCGGACTCCATCGGATCCTGGGAAGAGCTAAAAAAGGTCTTCACTGACAACTACATGGCTACGTGTACTCGGTCGGGCACCAAGCTTGATTTGAACCGCATCTACCAGAAGCCGTCCGAGCTCCTCTGTAGCTATATCAGATGCTTTTCTGAGATGAGGAATTCTATTCCCAACATCATGGAAGCTGAGGTTATAACCGCCTTTGTTTGAGGACTCCATCACCGCGATCTCCGCTCCAAGTTCCACCGCAAGCCGCCCACGGGGATTGGCGAGATGATTACGACCGCCAACCAGTATGTTGACGCCGAAGAAGCCGAAGTGCGCTTCAACGAGGATGCGGGCAGTCATCACCCAACTCGCCGCAGCGACGATCGCCCTGACGACCGGCGCCACAGCGGCCGCCGCTACGACGACCGCAGTCACTATCGGGATAGTGGCTGTTACCAAGGCCTACCTCCCTGCAGTATGGTCTATGGGGGCCCGTAGGGTTCCCCATCGACAAGCCCCCGAGCATTTCATGATTGAGCTTCAAGGGCCGAGTTGTTATAGTCTTGATCCGGGTTCTTCTTGAAGTGAAATCTTGAGATGGTCTTCTTTGATTCTTCTTTTGGCTGATGTGCACTTTTGCTTGATGTCCTCCAGGTTCTTTTTCCTTTGAGTGTAGCGAGTGCAATTTTGCACTCATTGAGTGTAGCCCCGAGCCTTCTGTTTTTTGGTACAAAAAGCTGGAGGGTCAAGAAATTTAAAAATATGTTTTTCTGTGGTAGGTACTTGCAGCCCCCGAGCCTTCTCTGGGTTCTTTTCTGTTGAAAAGAAGCCGGAAGAAGGGTCTTGATTTATATTCCTTTGATCTTTGTCTTTTGCTGGTCACGGATGGGTCTTGTATAGCCATGAGTGAGCGTCTTCTTTTACTTTTTGTTAGGAATCTTGTTTTTGGGTACTATTCGCCTTTGTTGCTTTGCTCTTTTGTTCTTTTCCTCTTTCTTTCTTGTGATCTTTAGCTTTGTTTACCTCTGGTTTGCTATAAATACCTTTTTTGTTGGTTGTGGTTCTTCCTTGAGTAGGAAATTTCTTCTTCAATTCTTTCTTCATTCGTAGATATGCTGGTGTGTGAGATTGAGCAGCCCCCGGGCTTATGCTTGCTTGGTAATGAACATGCTGCTCTATCTGTTCTTCTGCGTCCGGGCTACCGCTGCTGCCGCCACTGGGTTCCTTGTTGCAATATTTAAGAATCTTGTCTCTATCTTATGTCTGAGTTTATTCGGTCCTATTTGGCCGTCTGTAACCTTTGTATTTGTCTTCGATCAATGAGATGTATAATTTTTCTCTGTCCGAGTTCTTTTTCGACTGTAATCCTTTGACATTGTAATTTTGTATGTGATCCTTCAGACGTCTCTGAGTTGTTTGTTCGGTTACTTATTGCTGTTGTCATTCTGGTTGTTGGAGAATTCAATGCATGTCTTCACGGGTTGTATTGTTGCTTGTGGAATATTCTCTTGGATATGCTTGTCCTTGAGTGCCGTTCTTTCACGCCAGAGGCCTCTTTCATTGAATTCTATCTTTTTATTGTGTCCTTTGTTAGATTTCTTCTATTGGTGCTCCTAGTCCATGTGCACCGCTTCTTTTGCCTATAAATGCCCTTCCGGAGTGCTGTTTTGATTCATCGAGCCTTTTGTTGCCTGTTCTGAAGTCTTCTGTAGTTATGAATATGATAGTGTGTGAAGTAGAGCAGCCCCCGGGCGTATTTTATAGTTCTTGTACATTTTGTTGTAGCTGGAGGAAGTCTTGTAATAGGGATTAGAGGTAGACTAATCCCGCAGCGACATTGTACTTGGAAGTACATGGTGGTAGTTGGAGGAAGTCTTGTGATGTGGGCTTCGTTCCTTCATCCAGCAGTTCTGAGTTGATCCTCGCCGTCTGTCTTGAGACTGTCCGGTGCAGATCAACATCTGATCCTGCATCACGTCGGGCTTGGGTAGACAGATGCCTGCCGACTTCCCCTGGTCTATGTTGTCCCGTCGTGCTGTTGATTTCCGCCTTGGATGCACTACGTCCGTCCTTTGAAGAAAACAGTGTAGCCGAGCACGGTTTGTTCTACCGAGTAGCAAATTGGAGCACGTAGTCATTCCAGAGCCTAGTTGTGTCCGGGCTCTTTTTTGCTACCTTGCTTGTCGTAGTGCCGAGTTCATTGGGTCTTGTAAGATGTGTAATCTTCTATTTTTGAAGCCATTTGTAATGGAAAGAATCTTGTCTTCAGAGTTGTCATTCATTTTTCTGCTGTAATCCTGGTTATTCATGAGGCTCTCGAGTTCTTTCTTTAATAACCGGGTTCTTTTGTTCCTTGCGAGGTGGCCCTTCGTTTCTTCATGGTTGACGGGTTGTTCTTGTAGTAATCTGAAAACTCTGCCGTGGTGCTGGATGGATAAGTCTGAAATCTGCCCGTTGGATCGTACCATTGTGTAGATTTGTGCCTTCCGTCATTTTAGCTGTGTCAGTAAATGGATCGTCGCGTGGTTGACGGTAGAAGCCGAATCGCCATATTGGTTTTGATGAAGGAATTAACTCCGCACTTAACCTTTTATGAAGAAAGTTTTAACTCCATCCTTATCTCGAGGAGGCTGTTGAACTGCC